CCAGTTGATTCTCTCTCCTTGCCAAGTGAACCTTGAGTTTGGAAAGTAAGTGTTTTCTGTATGAGGGGAATCCTTTCTTGATCATTTTCCAAGTAATACAGAATGGCTATTATAAGAAAGAAACCTCTATATATTCTCTCAAAAACATAATGTTAATAAAAAGAGATAAATCTAGATTGACCCTCAATTTCCCCACCCCAATCTTCAAAATAACCAGAAAAAATTATATATTATCTTAATTCAGTGAAAAGTTCGTCTCCTTTGTAAATCAACAAATTTACCTTTTCTCAAGCCTGCTTCTCCTTAATAGTCTCATATATACTTTCCTCCTCACCTCAATTCTTCTCTCTCTGCTCAATAACATTAGTTCCATTCTTACCAGGCATGTAAATGGGAATCTTGAAGACTTTACTGATGTCTGCATCTAGCATCTCATTTTTCCTTTATGTCCTTCCAAGTCCAGCCTAAGCAATGCACAGTCAAGTCGAGATTGCACATCTTTGTTGACAGCAAGTCCTACTTACAAACACAAAAGAATTCAATCTCCTCTCCTGGTTTCACAAGTCTATCTAAAAGGATATTCCTTCAGTTTAGGATATATCCTGGTAATAGAGATAAAAGTTATTTCAGGTCTCTTAATTTCCCTTGCCAATTTGTACAGCTTTTCAGGCAGACATTGTCCAAAATACTGTTCAAAATATTTTTCCTCTGTTGTTGTGACAAACCCCAAACAAATCAATAAATGCCTAGCCCGCTGAGCAAACATGAAAAAGAGTCTGTATGACAGACCACCAAAATATGTTGTCAGACTATCCACGCTGGCAGGGAAGAAATAAGTACTGAAATAACAAACCAACACCAGGCTGAATTACCATACGTGGTTGTTAGCAAAATCATGCTATCGTTCATAAAGTGAGCAAGAAAAGGCCACCCTTGTGCACCTCACCGATGTGCTGTGGAAGGCAAGAGCAAAGCAAAGGACAGAGCCTGGCCACGTGCATGAGAATAACGGGATCCCCCTTGACCTAGAAGAGCGAGGTGTTTCCTACCAGAGAGCCGCATGAGATCCACTGGGAAGGACAGACAGGGAGGGAATTTCTGGTGAGTGATCCCTCTGTTTACTAGAAGACTTGAAGAAGGCCAGCCTTCAGCATGCTCCTAACTGTTGCCAGTGGTGGGAGGGAGAGACTATCCAGAATGAGTCTGTCAGGAGGAAGGGACAAATGAAAAAAGAGAAACTAAGAAATTGATAAATTTGCAGTTTAACCCTGGCTTAAAAGCCTACCTTGCATATTGCTCCAGATCACAAGCCCAAACCTGCTTCCAGGGAAGTCAGTGACATCCAAGGACCAGGGTCCATTCCAGTTAAGTATTTTATATCCTTACAAGGGATATTTGGAATATCAGCAAACAGATAAGTTTCCAGTTCCTTTCAGCACACAAATACCTTCTGTGTTCTTTTAGAGTATAAATATTTTGAAACTGTTGATTCTTGCATCTTGCTCTTACCTTTATGGTCTTCAGAAGCTAGAATATAACAATCATTACCTGCACTCACGTCATTTATTTAAAATCTCATCAGCTTGTCTACACAACACAGGTTCTCACATGGATGAAGCCACAGACACTCTTCGGACATTCTTGGGCTGCTTCTCAGAGCTCTGAGGAGAGGAAGGCACAAAATGAGCAGCAGCCTAGGCTTGAGAGCCTGTCCTGGTCTCCCTGCTACACTGAGGAGCAGCAAGGCAGTGCAATCTGCGTGAAAGATCCTCATAATAACAAAACCAGCAAAGGGAGATAAAAATCAGGAAGGGAAGCAGAGTCCTTTGGCTCTTCTTCCAGCAGAATCTATTTTGGAAGCACAGGCAGAAGCCCAGAAGCCCTTGGCTATGAAGGTCACAGGCAAACATTTGCCATTTGTGACATCTGCTTGTATGCAGTGATCCTCTGAAAACTACAAAGCTGTTCTTCATGATGAAAAACCACAAAAACTGTCAAGATGTGCATTTCTGAGAGCCTTCCAATCCCTTCAGCTGCACTGCTTGGGGTTTTAGAAAGCATCAGTCCTCAGTATTTTTCACAGTGGTCTTCTCTTCAGTGGTACCTTCCCAGCAAAAGGGAACCCCACTGCATCAGTTCTTCTTGTAGCGCAATGCAGAGGGCCACAGGGTCATAACTGCATCAGGCCAGTAGTGGTACCTGAGACCAAGAACCTCAGAAAGATTTTATTGGCAATCAGTTTATGACGCCTGATCTTGTTCCTCACCAGGAGTGCAACCCATTAGGAAGGGCACCCCAAACAATCGCCAGCAAAGCTTCTAAGCTGCCACCCAATTTATATGCACATTCCAGATATCTAGCTGGAAAAACTAAGCTAAGCAAGTTTTTTAGAGTATCACCTCTGCTTTACTGTGATGATTTCTGCAGCATGCTGCTTGTCTTACCAACTCTACAGATCTTAGAAGGAGCAAGAGGGAGATAATAAAAAACATATCACTAAAAATGGGCTAAACCAGATTTTTATTTCTGAATCTTCTAGTGCGAAACAAAAGCTGTACAGCATGTTGCAATGCTGGCAATCTCTGCTTTCCAGCAGTATTCAACTTGCATTTCTAGCTCTTGCTCTGTATACTCGGGGATTCTTGAGGGACCTAGCATGTTTCAGACTGAGTAGAAATTAGGTATTTAATGGTGCAGGATAAATGCACATAATTACACAGCTCTGCATTTTAGTGTATCAGTATTCTTAACACCTATAGGATACAAATATTTCTGTGTCACCATGTAGAATGACTCATTTAATCTGGAATTAAAATGCATTCAACTCAAGGGCAAAACAACACTGCTGTTTGACTACGCGTAATCACAGGTCAAGAAGCAAAGAAGAATATCACATTCAATTACTGCTGCTTACAGCCTGAAATCTGCAGAGTGGAATTTAGTCACTTAGCTGGAGGGAACACTATTATTCTTATGGAAAAAAGATGGGAAATTTCCTCATTACAAATATAGCTAATTAAAAGACGAATTTTCCATCATGCAATAAATTTCAAGATACCAACATCTATATTTTATTCAAGCCAAAAAAAAAAACCAACCCTAAAACAAAACCCTTTAAAAACAACTTTTCAAAGTCAAAACTTCCAAATATTTCATGAAACAAAGTCCTCTATAAATATTTAATTTGAATGCTTTTCAGAAAGCCTGAAAGGACTGTTTGGATAAAATCATTATCTTTTTGACTTTTACATAAATTAATGATATATAATATATCCGGAATTAAAATGTCAATAAAGACAATACATCTTTCTGTTAAACATTTCAATTTGTCACCTGAACACTGCAACAGAAAGTTTTCCACCAGGTAGATATAAACGCAGGCATCAGGAAAAGAGATTTTCTGTAACGAAATTCGGACCATTGTTTCATGGAAAAAAGTATTATGAACTTAGAAATGGCAGACGGACAAACACTTTTCACCAAAAGGCAGTGAAAATGAGGTCATGTGTT